CAGCCAGGACCCAGTGAGGCAGCAAGGCAGTTACAGGCCTAGAAAGGATGTCAGGCTGAAGGGCTGAAGGAGCACTCCACTTTTCCTCACCCTTCCTTCCCTACCATTGCTCCCTGGGGCTTTGAATCTCCAGGTGGGGGAGGGAGGGAGGGAGGGAGGGAGGGAGAGAGGGAAGGAGGGAGGGAGGAGGGAGAGAGAGACAGAGACAGCCGAGAGCTCCTCTTCCAAGCATATAGCCAGAGCTCATATTCAGGTTCAGGTCCAAGTGAGCAAGGATTCTCCAAAAGCTTTGGGAATTTGGGACTCTCCTGTAAGAGATGGTTGACCTCTAGGGAATTCCTGCTCCCTCACCGAGTGTGTGTGTGTGTGTGTGTGTGTGTGTGTGTGTGTGTGTGTGTGTGTGTGTCTTGGGGAGAAACTATCTAGTACTTTAAAGCACCAAGTCATGGGGGCCAAGCCCTAGTGAGCTGAACTGGAGCTGAGGCCCTAAGCGTTGAAACTTGGAGGGCAGCCAGGGGCCCAGGCCCAGTCTGCATTTGGGCTTTGCTTGTGGCTCCCTCCCATACCAGCCCTTAAAGGAACCCTACTTTGGAAGTGGGGACCCTCTTCCACATCCCAAAGGTGGTGGGAAAGAATGTTGGGAATCTCCTCTTTTCAGTATCTCTCTCACGGGGCTTTATTATTTTTTACTCTTCCCCCTCCTCATTCCCTTAATTGCAGATGTTCTAATTAAACCCTCAAATAGTTGTTATGCTGTTTTAAAAGGTACTTATTCAAGTGTCAACCAGGCTGGGCTGGGAGGAGGTAGCATAGGGCGGCGAATTAAAGGTAGATTGACTAATCACGGCGGCGATCATAATAATAAAATCAGAGGGAAAAAAATCACATTACGACTTTTCGTGGAAAGGAGGGAGCAGGCAGCCAGCGGCCGCCAGCCCTGTGCCGCCGACACAAAGAGTGCGGGCGATTCCGCGAGACTGATTTATGACGTTTTACAGCCCTATAAAAGCTGTAGCGACGAGGCAAGCGCTCCTACCACCGCTGGCAGATTTAGTCTAATAAATAAAACATAAACAGTTAACTTTATGTGTCACTTTTATTGTTATCAAGTAAAATATAGCCGAGCCCCGGCAAGCTATGATTTTAAACTATAATTGTTATCAAGCACAACACGGGGACCTGGCTCCCTCCCTGGGCTTTCCCCTCGGCTGCCCCCCACCAACTCTGAGTTATAGAAGATCAGTTAATTGGAGTCCGATGACTAGGCCACCCCTAGCTGAGGAACCAGGAGCTGGAAAATAGCCCTTCCTGGACCTCTCTCTCTTCTCTGGCTCTGCCACCTCCCCTGGGGGTATTTTGTGGGTGGGTGACAGAGGAAGGGAACAGGGTGAGAACAAGCTGGAGCCCCCGGCCCTGCCTCCAAAGCTCAGGGACTTCACGTCTTCTTGGAAGGCAGCCTGGAGCAGACCCTGGGGAATATGTGTTTACATGTAAACACACGTGTTACACTGATACAATCCCTGACTGGAAGCAAGCAGGCTCTACCCACACAGGCCTCCATCCAGGGTAAGGCATGGAGGAAAACTCCCAGGGCTTTAGTTGGGCCCCACTTCAGAGCGCTGATTCCTGGCAGAGATCTCTGTCTTTTTTTTTTTTTTTTTTCCCAGAGCTGTTCAGAGCCAGTCTGGGAGGTGCTGTGAGAAGTCAGCAGGCCAGGGAGCAAGAGTCACACATGGGCCGTCAGTAGGAGATATCCTCTGCTCTGGGCCGGGAAGGACAGTGGGTAGCAGGGAGGTCAAGGTTTCTGAAATCTGCCTTTGCCAACCACTTCCTGTCTCTCTTCAGCGGGGGGCTCAAGCCCTAGACCTCCAGAAATGACGTCAGGATCATTTGCATCCCGCTGCCTCAACCTGCCTAGTACTGCTGGGACCCTGTCTCGACGGTCCCTTGGCCAAGAGGGTTGGGTGAGTGTGTATGGGGGAGGGGAGCTGGACTTTCGGATCCTTGGATGGGCTGAGGTACCTCAGGCTCTCTAGCCTTCTAAGCACAGCCTGGGCCCCTCCCCATCCAACCTCCTCTGAAGCCCTTATTGAACTTCCTCTTCCTGCGAAAGAGGGGCGCTGCCCTGTGACCTACACAGACTGCAACACGATTGCCATAATGAAGACCACTGGAAAGGCACTGGAGCCGAGGCCCACAGGGCGCACTGGAGGCCGGAAAGGAGACCCTAGGCCGGGGTTGAATCACAGCCTCCCGACAGCCCTCAATGCCCAGGCATTGGAGCCGAGCTGGGAGCCTCCCATCTCCTTTTGCAGGGGAGGATTGTCAGTCTGGCGGGGTGTGCAATGGTGAGCACCCCAGCTTCTGCCAGACATCCCCCACCCCCACCCCCCCAGCAGCAGCAGCACCACACACACAAAAAATTGGATACATTTTGAATAAAGCGATTCGGTTCCTTATCCGGGGACTGGGTTGCTCGGTGTGATTGGCCGGCGGAGTCACATGGTGAAAGTAACTTTACAGGGTCGCTAGCTAGTAGGAGGGCTTTATGGAGCAGAAAAACGACAAAGCGAGAAAAATTATTTTCCACTCCAGAAATTAATGATCATGAGCTCGTATTTGATGGACTCTAACTACATCGATCCGAAATTTCCTCCATGCGAAGAATATTCGCAAAATAGCTACATCCCTGAACACAGTCCGGAATATTACGG